GTGCAGCATGCCATTGGCAAGATGGACGAGTGGATCGGCCTGTATGGTGGAAACCTGAGCGGTACGATCGGTAGCCTTGAGTATCCAGTGGCAGAATACCAAGAGGCTACGGCCGAGGATGAGATAGAGGATGGGGTGGAGGAACAGACGGATGAGTGGCTGGGTGAGGACGCGGAAGATGCCATTGAGGGCTGAAAAAAATGCCAAAAACAAAAAACAAAAAAAAAGAAGCCAAAAACAGATGCCCTTTTTTGGGCCAACATTTTTCGACTTTGATTCCCGAACAGCGACACGAAGGGGCTGCACAGAAGGCGCCATTCTGAGTGCAAGCTGACATATTGTTTGATATTTCGCAATTGAGATGGCTGTATCATCCTGTTCAATCAATATATGGATTACTTGTGCAAGCCCTGGGGCCGCATCGTTGAAACACCGCGCTTCAATATTTTTTGAACTTCGCCGGGTACGATCACACACTAATTTCGTAATATTACTCGAAGACATGGTGATTTTTTTTATTTATTTTTTTAGAAAGAGAGCTCTGTGCTTTGTCGTCAGTTTGCGCTATAGTTTGTGATAGGGGACTCCGTATTGACGAAGTTACACAATATTCCAATTTGGTCTTGACTACTATGTTCCACCGTAATAGTGACACCGCTGCACCCCGATTTAGCGACCTAAAGCGGTCGAACCCTCGATATAGGGTGTTTGCGAAAAGAGTGAAATGGCTTGACTTTGGTCTTTTTTTTACCCCGAACAGCCTGATCCAACGGCAGGGTCCAATTTTGGTCTCTCTCGGGCTTTGCTGCCCCCAAAGACCAGAGAAAAAGACCATTTTGGTCTTGGCTCACCTTGCTCTTTGTGGGCAAGTTTCTGGCAAGTTTCCTTTTACCCCAAAGCACCAGCAGCACGCGAACTTGCCAAGGCAATGATTGATTACGCCCGTGCAAGCCTCATGGTGACTCCGTCGGGGTACCGGAAGACCGTGAGGCAGACGGTTCTTCACCAGAGGGCTGGTGCGATGCACGCGGCGGACATGGTGGAGCTCACTTACTGGACACAATCATCTGTTTCCATTTCTCCTTTCTTCCCCTCGCTGCCTCGGCAAGGTTTTGCGTAGGCATGACCCATCGCGAGGGGGGGGGTCTTTCTAGCGAGCAGGGCTAGACTCACCCTCAGGGGACCGATACCTTCTTGCTGCGGCGCACCCGCCGCGAGGCGTGCGTAGTGGTGGAGTTGGGTCGGCACTGGTGCGTCAGGTACAAAGGTGCAGATGCGCGGGCCTCCAGGCCGTCGGTGTAGGCAGCAATGCCCATCTCATCTTTGTGCGCGGAGGCAGACGTCATCAGAAAGGTGAACGGGTACCATGTACACGGCCCTAGGTTTGCTAGAGGGAGCTGGACTGTCTCAGTAACCTGGTTTTGCCATCAAAGGAGGAGGGGACAGGTGGTGACGAGCTGATTGGGCTGGTTGACCCTTCGGCGCGAGAATATTCAGACCGAGAACCCTAAGTGCAACGAGGGAGAAAGCGAGGAACCGACTGGGAAGGACAGCAACGAGAGCGTGTACGAAGCGGAGCGGGTCGAGTTTGGTCGTGCTAGGACTGGCCACAGCGGCACCGGAGCAGCGGAACCGGAGCAGGCGGACGGCATCGAACCGTGGCGCATGGACAAACATCTCTTGTATTTGCCAGTTTCGGACTGGGGCTCCAAATTTACTGAGGGTGGGTCTTGTCAAAAAAAGTGCAGCATCAAAAGTCGAGAAAAGAAAACAAAATGCCGCTGATTGGCTCTTCGCCACAGATTCCGCCGCCGAACCTTTAAGACAGATGTTATTGTTCCGAAAGTTCTTCGAAATGGCAAAATAAAAAAAAAAGTAGCGAATATACTGAAAACGCGGCTTAAAAATGAATAGACCATAGGTGGCAGGAGACGCTTGTCGTCCCACAATCCACGCAACATCTTCATGAGCGATAACGGAGGCGCCAACGCAGACAGCAGCGCAGTAGGCGCAGTAGGCGCCACGGGCGTGGCGGGAAGCTATGTTTTGCCCCGGCAGTCCCCCCCCCAGCAGGCTGTTGGCGGGAGTGCACACGCAAACATGATGACTCCTCCGGCGCCACCACAGCATCGCTCGGACATTCCGCCCCAGCAGCAGCAGCAGCAGCAGCACGTTGGCATCGCTGCTGCCGCTGCGGCCGCCGCTGCTGCTGCTGCGGGTTCTCCGGCGTCGGCTCCGCCAGCGTTTTTCCCTGGATCTGCTGGATTTCCCCCAGCGCGCGGATTGTCCATCCCTCAGGTGGCCCACTCCAGCATGCTTGCAGGATGGACCACACCGCCCCCGTCTCCGCAATGGCCGGGGCCGGGAAAGCTGCCGGCGCCCGCGCCAGGGCCAGAATGGCTGCCGAAGCTCGTGCCAGGGCCGGAATCGCCGACGGCACTCGCGCCAGGGGCGGGATCGCCACCAGCCTTCCCGCCAGGGCCGGGATTGCTGCCGACCCTCGCGCGAGGGCCAGGATCGTCCGTGCGACTCTTACCTACGCCCCCAACATTACCGCCCAATCCCATCCGGGAGGAGCAGGCGAACTATGCCGACTGGTTGCTCCCGGCATGTCAATCGGAGATGAAGAGGCACGCGGAGGCAGCGGGCCACAAGGGAGCCTTTCGGTACGGTGATGGGGTCGACGAGATCAACACGTCGATTTCGAGCGTGAAGAAGCCAGAAGCTGTAAAGCTGCTCCTGGCCCAGGACGCGTGGCGTGTATCCAAAGGTCTCGACCCTGATTGGAAGCAAGCTCCGCAGGGCACCCCGCAAGCGAAGAGGGTGGCGAAGGAAGCGAAGGCGAAGCTTGCTGCCGAGGAGGAAGAGCGCAGGAGGAGATGCCGTTCCAGCGGGGATGCGGCAAGGTTGTGCTTCATCATGTTCTCGGACGAGATGTACGAGAAGGTCACCACCAGCGAACAGGCGCCCACGGATCGAAACAAGCGCGACAACCATGCCATTGGGGTGAACGATCCAGACGGGGTTTGGGATGAGATAGTTGACCACTTCGTAGACGAAAATTTGAGGCTCGGTGGGGTACGCGCTGGCAACCCCAAATCACACGACGGCAGCACTGCACCCGGAGTGCCTAAGATGTGGGAGGCGCTTCAATCGCTCGACTATGACGATCCAGCGAAAAAGTGAGTGTTGTGATTTCGTTGGTATGCCGCACATTTGAGACATACATGTTGTGCTGCTGGTTCGCTTATTTTACATTTAAGGGCAGGTGCCCGGGGAGTTGCGGCTGTTTCTCTCTCCTTTCCCCCGCGGAACGCAGATATTGTTTGACTTGCTTTGAAAATGGGCCTCGCAGGTTAACAGTAGGCACCAGCTGCCAGTTCTTAATTTTTGCCACTTTTATCAATTACGGGAGCGCTGGTTTCTTGGCTGATGGTGCAGTGCCTTATGTGGGATCGTCGTTCGAACGTCTCGCTGTTGTTTTCAGGTGGAGGGAAGAATGGACGTTCAAGGAAGGGTCGCGGAAGGGAGAGCTGGACAAGGCTCGCGCCCGCGAGAAGGTGAAAGGCTGGTGGACGGACATGCGTGCGGAGTTAGGGGTGGGTTTCGGACAACGGTCAACGGCGGGTGAAGGATTTGGTCTTTTCCGATTCCCGTTAGAACTATTTGCGCAAGAAGCCCACCTCCGTGTTTCGACTGGTATTTTGTTGGTAGCGGCCTTCGTCGGGGACGCATTGATTTTCTACTGCGGTGGATGTTGGGTTAAAAAAACAATAAAACCCGCCCCGTCCAGACGACCGTCTACCCTCCAGTGTCCCATCCCCTGGTCTGTTTTTTTTGTTCGGGTGCGGGGGGTGGGTTTAGCATTCCTGCTTGCCGGGTGCTGTTGTTACAGAACGAAAGCCCACCCCCCGTCTTGTTTTTTTTTTTTATCTTTTGTCTGCAGTAGTGGTAGTTGGTCGACAAACCGGCTCCGTCCAGACGACCGTCTGCCCTCCTCTGCTCCGTCCTCTGGTCGTTTTTTTTATGTGGAGGGGTGGAACGGGTTCAACGGGCTTATGTGCCGGTGCTATTTCAGTCCAGTAGCACACGACCCCTCCAGTTATTATTTTTTTATTTTTTCGGTCATACGCACGCAGCGGTGCTTTACTTTTCGAAACATTCGCTCCTTCCTGGTTTGTTTTGACGTCGGGTGCGGGCACACGTGTCGCGTGCTTGATTCATCGGTACCTTTCTGACATAGTCCCTTCACGTACGTTGTGTGCTGTGTGAACGTTGTTAACGTAGGCGTCGCCTATCGCTGGTGGTGTCTAGAACGCGTTTGGTCTCCGTTGGGGAAAGTTGGGACGGTCAGAAATTGTTTTTCCCGAAACCCAACTCCTTACATATTAAGTGACCCCTCTTTTCATTCCATCTCATGTAAACGTGCCGTGCTTGTTTTCCAGGACGCTAAGAAGAAGAAAGAGAAGAGTGGGAACAACGCTGAACACTACTGGTCCTTCTGTAACCAGAAGCTGTACGTCCTGCTCGTGATGGACTGGTACGAGCTGAGGGGTGGCGACAGCGCGAACGAGCACTGCGCAAGGTACTTCAGCGTAAGGCTCAGCGAGGAGGATGAGGAAGCTTTCAACACTCTGTCCATGGAAGACGAGCAGTCGTCCAGCGATTCGGATGAACCGCCCGCTCCGAAGGGGAAGCCGCGAGCGCGGAAGGCGAGGGAGAAGAGGAAGGTCAAACCGGAAGAAACCTTGGTCCAACTTGTGGACGCATTCAAGACCACATCAAACAACATTGCAGCGGCGATGAACAAGATTGCGGACAACGACGCCGAGAATCCCGTGGGTATGTTGATTGCTGCCAGCGATCGCCTTGATGACTGTGACGAGATGTTGAAAAATGCGAAAGAAGAAGGAGCGTCCAAAAGAAAAAATTGACAGGCTCACTCAAAACCTCGCAGTAGCGCAGGAGGAGTACGACAAAATCTACAAAAAGACCAGGCCTGCTGCAGAGAAAGCGGCGGAGGAAGAGGAAGAAGATGAGGAAGGGAGTGAAGTTTCGTAGCGATTTGTCGTGAAGGCCCTTCGGACGAATCAAACCCGACTTCTTCCAACGACGCATGAAGAGGATGTCTTGTCGTTTTGGGTTTGATTCACACGGCATAGGTTGGGTACATGCATTTTTCTGAGTATGGCTAGTTTTTTTTCCGTTGTGTGCAGCACGAAGGTAGGGCACTGCTCGTATGTTCCTTGAGTGTGGAGGGCGCATTGCTTGATCCACCCCTCCAGGATGTCTTTCTTCTTTCGGTTTCCGCGGGGGAACATGAGATTTCGTTTTTCAGTGAGGGACCAGAGTTTCTCTATCGGGCGTTATGTGCAGGCGTTTGTGGCTGCCGGAGAGCTGAGCCCAGAGGCCAGAGACATTGGTTCGGAGGGTATTTCATTTTTGTCACTTAGTTTCGAAAAGACTACTGGGAACAAAAAATAAATTTTGCGTGGTGAACATTCATCATATGAAGGTTGAGTACGCTCAACCCGTGAAAGATGAGTACGCTCACCCCCTTGATGTCAATAACGCGGCTCTCTCGGCCTCTGTGAGGTTTATCGTTTCTCAATTTATCTCTCTTGTCGAAACATCAATGCCCTGTGGGGCACACTCGACCAAACGGGAAGAAACATACNGTTTATCATATGAAGGTTGAGTACGCTCAACCCGTGAAAGATGAGTACGCTCACCCCCTTGATGTCAATAACGCGGCTCTCTCGGCCTCTGTGAGGTTTATCGTTTCTCAATTTATCTCTCTTGTCCAAACATCAATGCCCTGTGGGGCACACTCGACCAAACGGGAAGAAACATACAAACATAAAAAGCAGGAAACATGCCACCGCCAAAAAATAGGGCAGAGAAACCAGGCACCACGCCAGACAGCGAAGTCGCACAAAAAGCATTTCGGGTAATCTCACATCTGCCTCATGGAAGAAAATGACAATCGATTTTTTCGTCGAAATCATTAATAAAGAAGAGTGCCCCCAACACTCGCTTCTTATCATGAGTCTGCACCGCGGAAACTTCTACGTTTATCTCCCGTGCCCCGTGTTAGGTACCCAAGTAAAATCTGGCGGGTTGTAGCGGACAATGACCACTCTCTCTCTCTCTGCTTGACAGCTTCAACACCACCACAAAAGAAGCCCATCCGATCCATCACGAACATGTTTTTTTTTTTCTGTTATCGATACCCTCAACGGAACATTCCCCCAACGTCCAACCCGCACCTTGCCGTATGACACGCTGTATCGACAAACGGAACATCTTACCAATGCCTCTC